GTTCATCAATACGTCATTCAAAACAACGCAATTTCTCAGAGGGTCGTTTACGATTATTCTCGTACTTCGCTGTGGGATTCAGACGCGCTATTACGAGTATTCTCGTACATCGCGTCTTAAGGGTTAAGCCTCATTTTCCAAGTGAAAACAACTGAACATACCACACATACAGTATACACACTAATTTTTCACTTAGTTTTAATTTGGCTATTTTGGCCGTTAACTGTAATTCGCTAAATTAAATCCACAAGAACATGTCAAATCAAAGAACGTTTTATTTAAAATATTTATTTAAACGTTAAAATTTAAGAAAACATGGGTAACCTTTCAAATAAGCTTAGCGACTAATATTGGTCTGCTATATGAAATGCACAACATGAAAACAATATGATAGTATTGCAGTATTAAATTGAAAAATATTGCAGTTTATTATACCACTCAAAACTGAAAAAAACTGAAAATTGACTCAAATTTTGTCTGTTGGCTCCAAAATTAGGGTTCATTTCCAGAAATATTGAAGAATATTAGAAAAAAGTGCAGAAAAATTTGGTCGAGTAAGTCTGGTGGTGAAAAGGTTAAAGATTAATTAACTCATTGTTGAAATGTAGTACTCACAATAAACACTATTTTTGAATAACTCCAAGTGACTATAAAAAACATGAATTTGGCTCAGATTTAAGTGCTTGGAAATAATACAAATAAATATTTGCAGTACTCACTGTAATGTTTCATTCAACATATTGAATGAATCGTCATCTGGTGAAAGTTCTTTCAAAAGACTCTGTCTTGGCATTGTATTTGGAATCTCGTCACACATTTGTAGAGCTTGGTGTATTAATTCTACCGTTCCATGCACACTCAGTGTAATTTTGTTAATGACATCTTTTATACGACTCATTTGTACCTGTTAAGAGTACAACAAATTAATTAATTAAATACTAACTAAGTAGGGTATACCAATGAAGTCATTACTTGTATATATATTTTCCCAAGACTTGTAAGACTGTTTAAACTTTTCACCACCAGACTTTCTTGCCCAAATTTGTCTGCATTATTTTCTTATATTCATTAATATTTTTGAAAATGAACCCTAATTTTAGAGCAAACAGCAAAATTTGAGTCAATTTCTAGTTTTTACTCAAAAAATTTGGCTATTTTTGTCCTAGTCTTTTGAAGGAAAGTGCAGACTATAAACGAGACTATTTTGTGAATTTGTGATGAAAAAAAGGTTAATATAGCATTTTCCATTCACTGCAAGGTCCCACATTATGAGTAAAGTCGAATGCAAAACAGGACAAACAATGGTTATACCATCGTAATGGCGTTAAAACATCGCATTGGATTTGACAAATGCTATTTTTAAAGTATTTCCATGATTAATAACATGCTATTACACATTTAATTGTCAATTTTGAGGAAGTATTGAGGTATCTCAATGCCATATTCCAAAGATCTGCATTTCAACATTCAGCAATAAAAAAAATTCAAAATCAAATTATTCTATTTTTGCGGTAGATGTTCAGTGCACATCTTCCATGTATTACGTGGGATCTCACTGTGAACGTTAAATCACTACTACAAATTTTCACAATTTCGCGATTTTATGGCCTTTCAGTTTGTGAGGATAAAATCGCAGACACTGTTTGGTAGGATCATGCACAAAGAAATTTTCACTGCTCTAAATATTTTGAATTTACACCAACTTCTATAAAATTCATCCCTTAGGAAAATTAAAGTAATACAGTATATGGCAACTGTCAAGTCAATATGTACAAAGATACATGTACTGGTGGTCCACATATAGCTGACATTTTATAAATTACCACTAACATTTAGGAAGTTTTGAAGTGAATTATAGAGCTTGTTAATGAAAATACTGTTTTAATGAAGCAAATACGGTATACATCCTTCCGATGTCACAGAGCAGAAATTTGAAATATTTTCATCATACTTGTGGATTCAATGTGAAAACAAAGACAAAGGCAATTTTTGGTAAATCCATGACATTTAGACTCATTTTTCATTTGATAGCCAGTCACAGGCAATAAAGTGTGGTAGCATTGTCCATACCTTAACAGCAGCAGTTACATCAATATCCATGTCCATTTCTTTTTTGTCCACAATTTGTTGCAAAGAGTTCATTCTGACCATCATGTTCTGACGTTCCTTAAGAAGGCCCAGGTTTGCTTTTTGGGCTTCACGCATACCAATTCGGGTTTTTTCCAGTGCTAAGGTCAAAGCTTGATTATTTTGAAACAAGGTTGTACTTCGGAATGAGGAGTTCCCTGATAAACAGATCACATGTAACAACACAATAACATCAAAAATAAACATAAACATAGTTGGCCATTTTAAATCAAATTACAAAACAAAATGATTTTTTGTATCAGTTATCCATAATGTGTTTATGCCAAGTTTGAATAAAATCAGCACAGGCATGCCTGAGAAATGGTTGATGACATTCAAATTTTGTTTTTTTTGTGATTTGGCATAAAAGGAAACAATCAGCATGCCTATGTATGTTATTATGTTGTACCTGTCGGTATTTGTCAAAGCATGTCTGAGAAATGGTCAAGGAAACACGACAACAATACCAACATGGCTGCCAGTCAGCCATTTTGAATCAAATCACAAAATTAGGTGAGGGTTCTCCGAAACCGATTATTCACATAGTTCATACCCACCATAGACTCCGGTCAGTCAAAATGACTATTTTGAACTGTAGGCATTAATCAGTGATTCTGCCGGTGACGGAGAGATAGGATCTAGGTCAGGGGAAGCCCCATGACCTCAAGATTCTTTTACCCCTTACGTCACGAACCCACGTGACCGAGGCCACATGGCAGCGCCATAGGTAGCCATCAATCACTCTGGTTCCTTTCTCTCCCCCTCGAGGACTTAGACCAACGCGACGAAAAGAGTTGGGAGGTTGGGGGGGGGGGACCCGG